CTGCTTTAAATTGAAGTGTTACTAAACCCCGGAGCCTGCATTCACTATATCCGGTCTCCCCGGAGCCTGCATTCACTATATCCGGTCTCCCCGGACCCTGCATTCACTATATCCGGTCTCCACGGACCCTGCATTCACTATATCTGGTCTCCCCGGACCCTGCATTTACTATATCTGGTCTCTCCCCTGCATTCACTCCTGGTCACCCCGGGCCCTGCATTCACTCTATCTGGTCACCCCGGGCCCTGCATTCCCTGTCACCCCGGGCCCTGCATTCACTATATCTGGTCTCCCCGGAGCCTGCATTCACTCTATCTGGTCACCCACAGTACACAGAACATGGAAGTGCAATTATTGTAATAAATATAAACTGCTAAATACTAGTGGTGCACCGAAATGAAAATTCTGATGCCGAAACCGAAAATTCAAAAATGCACTTGGCCGAAAACAGAAACCGAAATATGCAGTTTTTAAAAATTAATATATAGTTTTTGGAAAAAATACACTTTGATTAAAAGTGGATGTTGCACTGTCCCTTTAAAAAAATTTTCATCACTTTTTTATTCTTATCACAAGGAATACATGCATTAGAAATAATTAGTGACAGGTCCTCTTTATGGAGAGATATGCGGTCAATAAGACCCCACATCTCTCCTCTGCAATGTAAAGCATTGGATATAAAAAAGCATTGATCTAGTGCAGCAATGGGCAAACTACGGCCCGGCGGACCTTTTAATCCGGCCCGCGGAGCTAGGCTCCCGCTAGGCTCCTCTCACAGTCCGCCCTGAAGACCGGTGTAGCATGAAAATCTGTCTCCTATGAGGATCTGTCCCCCTCGACGTATCTGCGCATGTGCCGGAGATCGCTGATCGGCTGCTAATGCCTGAAACTGGCACATGCGCAGATACGTCGAGGGGGACAGATCCTCATAGGAGACAGATTTTCATGCTACACCGGAACGGCGCGGGGGAACACGGCGGAACACGGCGGATGAGATTAAACGCACGGATGAATTACTATGGGGGATGAATTACTATAGGGGGGGGGTGAATTACTATAGAATTACTATAGGGGGGGATGACTATTGGGGGACTATTATGGGGGATGAATTACTATAGGGGGGATGATTATTACTATATGGGGGATTAATTAATTACTATGCTTACTATGGGGGAATATTACTATACTTACTATGGATGACACATACACATCATTCATCTACTCTTGGTCCGGCCCTTGGGTCCAATATATGAACCCATTGCGGCCCTCAAGTCAAAAAGTTTGCCCACCCCTGATCTAGTGCTTTGAAGAAGAAAAAAAAACCAATTTGCCAGAACCGGAAGTGACTGTCCTCCAAGGGCATAGAGGCCATCTTTCCTTCACTTATCTCTATGCCCAGCCCTGGGATTATTTGATGGTTTCTCAGGTAAGGCTGAGAACTACCGTGCGGCAGCGAGGGGCGGGGCTTTTTCGGCACATGTATCGGTGCTTTTTTTCATGACGGCCAAAAGGGGTGTTTTCGTCTGAAACGTTTCAGCCACCGAAAGTTCAGTTCATCCCTACTAAATACCTTTTCTCATCAGCAGTTAGAGCAGTCTTGTGACTTCTATCTGTGTCCAGCTAAGCACTGGTTAAACTCCTTGTAGGAGGAGTTTTCATTCTCTCTACGAGGATGCAGGACCCCTGGCCTCTGGACAGTGCTGATTGGCCCTGTGCTGATCACATGCACTCTCCCAAGTAAAAAAAAAAAAAACCCCTCTAGCAATACACACCAAACTGAGCATGTGCAGAGTGACTACACACAATATGTCTTAGCAGATAAGAGGGGGACACTGGAAGAAGGGGAGGGTCAGAGAAGTCAGGATCAAACAGCCTTTTTACACAATGCAGAGATTTAACCTCTGAGGTTCCACAATGAGTATAACAAGCATGCTTTCTGCATATACAGACTGATTTTACTGTTGTGGGTTAGTAACACTTTAAAGGATAAGTTCATCTTTCATAACATGTTACACCCATATTCAGGGCCATATACACTCTCCCTGCTCTCCGCCGATCCCCTCCTTTGACAGCTAGCGGGAGATCTTCTCCTACCACCACCACCCCGCTAGCTGTCAAACATTAAAAAAAAACGCAGTCAATTGTGGCTCCACCCACCCAGCTGCATCACTCCTCTGTGAATATGAAACTACAAGACCTGACAGCCTTGGCGGCTATCGGCTTGTAGTTCTCAAAGAACTACCTCGGTGCTGTGGAGCGCCATGATAGTTCATTTAATCTTCCGGTAATTATATTTGCTTGCTTGTACATCCCGTACCGGCAAGCAGAGATACTGACCGATCTGCAGGAGACCTGTATGGCACCAGCAATCTGCTGATCACTGGTGCAATACTGTCCAGGCTCCTGCAGCAAAAACAATAAATGCATTTTTTTTTCCCCTGCAATTGTTTTTTTTATCAAAAGATGAACGTATCTCTTAAGTGTATCTAAACACAAAACCAAAAAAATGTAATATATGGCAGTTTACGAATCCATAGATGTGCTGGCTACGTTGGTTATATACAGTATATTTTGGGATTTTGGCTCAGTGTGAAATTACAAGGACACTGGATTTCTTGCACGGTCAAGAGGAGGGTTTCTGTATCTACAGCCACCGCATCGAAGGATTGGTAAGCTGAAATGTATTCATTTTTGTGTTTAAATTTAACTACACTTTAAAGGAATAGTGGGACAGCCACATACAGAAACTCAAATGCTTTCATATTCCCTCCCACACCAACAAAGTCTAAAACAATAACTATTGTGGAGTTGGGATCTGTAATTATGCTGGTTATTGGTTGAAGACATGTAAAATCATGTCTAATGTGCAGATAATAGAAGGTGAAAAGAGGGTGACTCCTCTTCACATGTTCAGTCCTGGGGTTATAAAGCAAAACCATTGCCATAATACAGAACCCTCATTGGCTGCTAATGACTGTAGCCCTTAGTGCAGCTATTCTCAACATGGGTTCCTTGGAACCCTAGAGTTCCTTCTAAGTTTTCTAGGAGTTCATTGATTTGTGGTTGATTGACCTGCCATTGGATGGTGTCTACCTGGTACTTGGGCCAACGCCACTTTCCAGAGCCAGCGGCAGGACACCATTTATCTGGTTCCGATTTATGTAGAGCCAACATTCTGACGACCACTGAAAGGGGGCATTTTTACCATTGATCCCCAATGAATTGTATTCAGCAGGAGTTCCCTACAACATAAAAATTATTTCAAGGGTTCCCCTGAGGTGAATTGGCTTAGGAAGAGGCTTTATGACATTATAGCTCATCACACTCATACTCTAAAGCAGTGGTTCTCAACCTGTGGGTCGCGACCCCTTTGGGGGTCGAACGACCCTTTCACAGGGGTCCCCTAAGACCATCAGAAAACACATATTTCCGATGTGTAAAGAGCAGCTGCTGTGTAGAAAGCAGCTGCTGTGTAGAAAGCAGCTGCTGTGTTGAAAGCAGCTACTCTGTTAAAAGCAGCTACTGTGTTGAAAGCAGCAATATTGGAGGTAAAACGACACCCATGAATTATAATTACTGGGTAAATAATTTTATGGTTGGGTGTCACCACTACATGAGGAACTGTATTAAAGGGTCACAGCATTAGGAAGGTTGAGAACCACTGCTCTAAAGCTACCTACAGACACTAGATGAGTATATGGCATGCAATTTTACAGTCCAACCAATGAAAGACCTTTTATAAGAAAGGTCTCTACAAACTTGCGTGTTTTTTTTCAGCCATATGTTATTACGAGGCGTACAGTAGCAGTCAACTTGCAACCCAACCTGACCTCACCACTTGGCCAAGAGATGTCCTTCAAGATCTGGAGATACTTGCCGCCCTTTCCTAATCTGGCTATAGCTGACCTTTATCTGTCACCACTCTGGTTTCCCATACAAAAGTCCCCTTTATATGAAAGCACAGTACCTGTTTGCACAAGATGTCCCAAAGTTCTGCTTACAGAGTACGGGGTCTTCGCTGATGTTTGCTGTCTTCTTTTTGCTTTCTTCCTGGCTTCTGTAGCTGTGGATAGCGATGTGCTGGAATGCTGTGTACCACATAATTATGCCTTTAACCCCTTTCATGCGGAATACGGACCCATTGAGAGTCTCTTTAGTCAACCTAGTCTTCTTTATGTAATCAATAAATGTGTAGATTGTGTGAGCAATCAGTGCAAGAAGAAGTTGCGTATTAGTGGATGGATCGTACTATTGAAAACTATGCGTTGGTCATGAAAAGGTTAACTGTGACGGATTTTCCAGTGTTCTTTGGCAGGTGGCAGAAAGAGACTAAATATAACACATTTGGTTTTTTTACCCATCAATTAAGTTTCTCTTGGCGCTGATCCCTGTGCTAGCAATGTGGAATGACTACGCAAGCAATTGTGGAGAAGCATATTCTCATCTTGTTTTTGGGGTCTTGTTTTGTTCAAACAAACCTTTACTAAAGAAACACAGTGGGTATCATTGATGTGCTTCTTTTATAATGCTGACCCCTGGCTTGCCCTGGGTTTGTGATGGTCAGTACTGAATCCCTTAGCAACTAGCATTTGTAGGATGAAAGCCCAACTGCAGGCAGTTAAACAATCCTATGGAGTGAGGCTGTGCCAGTACTGCAAGGGTTAATAGCTTGGTTTGTGCAGGGGAAAGTAGAAACCATTTTATTCACCAGACACTGACAGCCATTGGTATTTGGACATTCTGCAATCACCTGTGGATGATCCCCTCTGGATGCAAAATGTTAGCAGGCGCTATCAGCCTCTCATTACTTTGTATGGGGCTTCCCACCCGTAGCTGTTTGCAGAAACCCCACTGAATCTCCAGCAGGAAAATCCTAATCTGCCCCATAATCACTATACTAGGAATGAGACATGAGTTTTTATTACAGATGTGTTCTTTCAGATAGATACTAATTATTCAGGATTTATTGGCCATTGATTGAATGTCGTATACTTCTTTTTAGGTGGGACATGAGCCACTTCCACCAACTCTGGGAAGAAACCTCTTTGGCCGCCAGGTGTACCAGCTCCCTGGCCTCTTCGCCTATGGTATGTAACAGATTATTATTCCACTTTTGTCTTTTATTGGTGTTTATCAGTGGATTTGATGGAATGTTGATTACATTAGGAAAACAGACTAAAGAATCTGCCCCCCAGCCCTTTTTCATTGATTTCAGCTTAAAACATGAAGTCATTTGTGTTCCTTTGTGTATTTTCAGCAAAACACATCATCCGTATTGATGGAAAGAAAGGACTTTTCAAGGGCTTGACACCCCGTCTGTGTGCCGGCGCTGTGGGCACTGTGGTGCATAGTAAAGTCTTGCAGGTAATTTTATGTATACTTTACCAGACCAAATTTAAAACAAAATCTGATTTTTGCTTCTGTTTTTTGTGGCTGTATTAAAGCAGAGCAAGTCTGGTGGGGCTGCCAACATTTGCCATAATGTGAAAGGATATTTGATCCTCCGACATTTCCAGGTGTCATCTCCGGCATCCACTTTATCCCTGCCACTACCATGTCCTTTTCCTCTTCTTCTGAGTCCTCCGTCTTCTTGCTTTGCCCATTGTACGGGCACTGATGATGTAACTCCCACGCGTGCCAGCTGGTGTTGAATTATCTTGAAACTCTCTTTTTATGCTGCAGTAAGTATGTTTTTTGCAAGAAGAGACTTATAAATTCTCTTCTACTGAAGACCTTAACTACTGGCAGATTTTGGTAGTTTTAGCGCCACATTCACTTGTTGAATTGGCGTGCAGCTCTTGGGGGAAGTAGCAGCCTTTCACATTTGTGAAGACAGGACCGCAAATGACCACTTCATTCACACTGGTGATTTTAGGTCCGACAGTGGATTCCTGCAGCAAGAATATGCAGATTGTTGAGGCTGGAATTACAGGTGGTTCCAGACAGCTGCGACTGCTCAGCCTGTTCGAAGTAATGTCAGGATGGCAATAGCCACAGTCTGCTGATCTTCGCATGTACCCGCACATCCACAGCTTACTTGTGGCTGACCCCCGTTTCACATCTATGCGGCTGTGCGGGCCGCGTTTTGTACGGGCACGAGAGCCCATTCATTTGAATGGACTTCCGTGCCTATGACAAGCAAGGAAGAAGTCCCTGCACGTCTTTGGAAAACGCAGCCCGCACAGGAACCTCGGTTCTCAGTACGGTTGCATTTTCCAGTGTGGGTGGCGTGCCATTAGAACTAATGGCACCCGTCTGCGGGTCCGCAATTCTCTGTGCGGGTGGTGTGGCTGCACGAATTTTCGTGCGGATCCGCAGCGGCACCACCCACACAGATGTGAACCGGGGGTAAGTGCAGATGGCTGTAACCACCTGTGAGTCCAGCCGCAAGAATCTGCTGCTAAGCCTAAAATCACCTGTGTAAATGAGGCCTAACAATATAATGTAACCCTGGTAAAAACTTAAAGCGGAGTTCCACACTGGAAAAAAATTAGTCAGCAGCTACAAATACTGTAGCTGCTGACTTTTAAAAAAAAAAAAAAAACAGCCACTTACCTGTCCCATGATCGGATCCCCACAGCCCGTTTCACCGGCCATCCTGTGTTGCAGGCGCCGGCATCTTCAGTGTGGGCACCCGGCTGTGACAGCTTGCGGCTTCACAGCTGGGTGCCCACTGCGCAAGGCGCGAGAAGCACTGCGCTTTGTGAGTGGTCCGGCAGTCTTCTGAGACCTATCACATGTCCCAGAAGACTACGGGGAGGGAGGGTAGGAGGACAACTTCTGCTTTCGATCGCCTAGGCATTTGCAGCGGAAGTGGGAGCGGGTAACCTGTCAATTTCGGGTACCCGCTCCCCAAAGGTGCCAACCCTTAATGGGGAGCGGGGGACCAGTCTTTAAAGCGGAACTTCCCCTTTTGGGTGGAACGCCGCTTTAAGCCAACCATGCACGGGTCGAATTCTGAAAGAATTTTCTTTCGAAAATCTTTACTAAGAATTTTTGTTCAAATTTCGCACTATTAGTAGACCATAGAAACGGACGATTTTTGGGCGACCATCACATTTGAGTGATCGGGCATGTTGGAAATTTTTTTAAAAAACGAACAAATACCGGTATTTAATCAAGGATGGGAGAATCGTGCGAGAAATATAATCAAAAAAAGAAACCAGCATAAGCTGTGACCTGGAAAGAAAAGACGATTCTTGGCCACAAAAACTCCTTTCTGTAGCAACATGTGAAATTGAAGGCTTGCTTGGTTGAATTTTGAAATCAATGGTGGCACCATCAATTTACAAAACATTCGAAATTTCCGATTTTCTAAAGATTCATTTGGAATTTGACTGATGTATGCCCTGCATCAGAGTCAGTGAAGGTAAAAGTGGTGTCCATAGCAGCCAATTATATCACTGCTTACACACCCCACCCATTTTCCAATTTGTGGGATAAGTAGATTTACCTAGTACTCTTTATACAGTGAAGGAGATAAGTATTTGATTCCATGCTGATTTTGAATGTTTGCCCACTCACAAAGAAATGATCAGTCTAAAAATCAAATGGTAGGTGTATTGTAACACAGACAGAATAGCAACAAAAAAACTCACAAGAAATGCATGTCTAACAAATGATGCACTGATTTGCATGTTCATGAGGGAAATAAGTATTTGATACCCTATCATTCAGCAGGATTTCTGGGTACCAGATGTCTTTCATGCATGCAACAAGCTGAGATTAGAAGCAGTCTCTTAAAGGGAGTGCTGTTAATCTCATTTTGTTACCTGTATAAAAGACACCTGTCCACAGGAGCAATTTAACAATCGGATTCCAAACTCTCCACTATGGCAAAGACCAAAGAGTTGTCCAAGGATGTCAGGGACAAGATTGTAGACCTACACAAGGCTGGACTGGGCTACCAAACTATCGCCAAGCAGCTTGGTGGGAAGGTGACAACAGTTGGTGCAATCATTCGCAAATGGAAGAAACCCAAAACAACTGTCAGTCTCCCTAGGTCTGGTGCACCATGCAAGATCTCACCTCGTGGAGTGTCAATGATGATGAGAACAGTGAGGAATCACCCCAGAACTACACGTGAGGATCTTGTCAATGATCTCCAGGCAGCTGGGACCGCAGTCACCAAGAAAACAATTAGTAACACACTTCGCCAACAAGGATTGAAATCCTGCAGTGCCCGCAAGGTCCCTCTGCTCAAGAAAGCACATGTCCAGGACCGTCTGAAGTTTTGCCACTGAACATCTGAATGATGCAGAGAAGGACTGGTTGAAAGTGTTGTGGTCAGATGAGACAAAAATCGAGCTCTTTGGCATCAACTCAACTCGCCATGTTTGGAGGAGGAGGAATGCTGCCTATGACCCCAAGAACACCATCCCAACTGTCAAACGTGGTGGAAACTTTTCTGCTTTGGGGGTGTTTTTCTGCTAAGGGGACAGGACAACTGCACCGCATCGAAGGGACAATGGATGGGGCAACGTATCGTCAAATCTTGGGTGAGAACCTTCTTCCCTCAGCCAGGGCATTGAAAATGGTTCATGGATGGGTGTTCCAGCATGACAATGACTCAAAAACACACGGCCAAGGCAACAAAGGAGTGGCTCAAGAATAAGCACATTAAGGTCCTGGAGTGGCCTAGCCAGTCTCCAGACCTTAATCCAATTGAAATTGCCAAACGTCAGCCACCAAACCTTCATGACTTGGAGAGGATCTGCCAAGAGGAGTGGGCCAAAACCCCTCCTGAGATGTGTGCAAACCTGGTGACCAACTCCAGGAAACGTCTGACCTCTGTGATTGCCAACAAGGGATTTGCCACCAAGTCATGTTTTGTGAAGGGGATCAAATACTTATTTCCCTCATGAACATACAAATCAGTGCATCATTTGTTAGACATGCATTTCTTTTGAATTTTGTGTTGCTATTCTGTCTCAGTGTTACAATACACCTACCATTCGATTTTTAGACTGATCATTTCTTTGTGAGTGGACAAACATTCTATATCAACAGGAGATCAAATATGCATTTCCTTCACTTTATTTCTTGGTCAACACTGTTAGTACAATCACTTTTTTTTTTTTTTTTACGCGGCCATAGATGAATAGACACCTCCAAAGAATGGCAGACTGAGGGACAACTGCCTATAAAAATGTGCATAGATCTGAAAATTATGGGGCAAGATCTGACCTGTTTGTATCCACCCTTGTGAAGTCTTGTTTAAATAAATACTCGTACTATGTTGTTTCCTATATCCACCAATCCTATTCAGATCTGCCCTGGAAGATCTATCATAATTTGTGTTGCAGAGAGAATGAGAATAGAGCAGAGGCTGAGGGACGGACACTCCCAATGACACTCGTTGGAGCTGTGTATGCTAATTCACAAGAGTTTTATAAAAGAAGCTCCAAATAACCGACTCTAGCAAAATTGCTGGGTTTACTGAATGGTATTAGTTTTCCACTTTCATTTGCTGCATTTAATTGGTTTTTAGGCCTCATGCACACTGGAGCATGTTTCTGCTGGCAGCTGAAAACCGCTAAACGCATCAATAAATGCGGTACTACTGCTTTTAGCGCTTAGATAATTATTCATTTCATTGGCCAGAGTACTTGCCAATGAAATGAATAAACGGCCAAGAGCTAAATACGGTTAGCACCTAGGCACGTTTAGACGTGTTTACACCCGTTTTTGCCATGTTTAGCGGTTTTTGGTTAAAACGTTCCTATTCTGAACACGATACTTTTGCATTTAGGAGAGAGACTTTTAATTGGCAATAAATACTGCTGTTGTTCATCTCTGATGACAGTCTGTGTGCATGCACACGTAGGCTTTTATTGAGCTGAGTTCATGGGCTTTGGCAAAAAAACACCAAATTCCCGTCCACTAGCAGCCAGGGCTGTGGATAAAGGGGTTCCACCAGTCCTCCTGTACAGGGCCCAGGCCAGCCGGGGAGCCCAGGCAGCTGGGTGCATCGGATGTAGGCAGGGAGGGTGATGAGTGAGACGGTGGGGCTATTACTAGAACTGATCCCTTGTATTGCTCTCTCTGCAGCAACTGGCTTGTACTCCTATCCCTTCTGCTGCAGAGAGAGAGCCATACACAGGGGCTCTGGTTCCAGTAATAGCTCTCACGGCCCCCAAAACCCTCCCTGTGCATCATATGTTTCCCCCTGCTGCCCAGGCCCCCATGTGTGCCCCCACCCCTGCAGTGCTACCGGTTTCCCTCCTCTCCTTCCCACCGGTAGCTGCAAACACACAATAGGATCCTTCAGGATGGAGAGTAGGGGAAAGGGTCCAGTAAATATGTCACATTTACCATCTCCTTCCTTTCCTGAATTAACCCAATGAGTGATTGGTACTGATCACTCACTGTGGTCATTCATAACTGAAGCATAATAGTGTTGTTTTTTTTTGGGGGGCGCGCCCTGTCAGGTTGGCTGTATGGGGCCCCATGGTTTCTAACAGCAGCCCTGCTAGCAGCAGTGTGCATGAGGCCTTAAAACTCAGCTTTTATTGCTCTTCATCAACTTGACAGCATTTTAATATCTGCTCAGCTAGTGTTAAAGTACAAATTGTATTCGCATTGATTTTCAGAAGGCTTTGTGCTGGGTTAATGTCATCACATCATTCTACCGCTACTCCCAGAAGAACATTTAATGTCGAGTATTATGAATGATTATTTAGGGAACTTTCAGCTGTTGCTTTTATAGACTACCTACTACTTAACCATCTCCTCCATCACTTATAGCCCCATTCCAGGCAAAAAATATAATTCCAGGCTAACCTCTTCCCTCCCACCCTATCTCCCTTAAATACTTATAGCCCCATTCCAGGCAAATATGACCCCTTCCCTCCCACCACCCCTAACCCATCCTAGGGGAGGTTTTTTGGGGGGTTTTTTTTTCTTACTCAGAGTCTTCCATCCTGGTCACTCACCACTGCTTTTTTGGGTGCAGGGGACTGCTAATGCAGCTTTGCAGAGATATCTCATGTCAAAGCCACTCTTATTCTGGATCCTGAGAGGATCTCGCTGCAGAACAGCCATTAGAAAGTGTCCACGTCATTAAAGCAGTGATATAGACACCGAAAGAAGGCTTGGGACTGGAACATCATATCATCGCAGATTTAGGTAAGTAAAATGGCATTTGGCAGTTTGGTTTTTTTTTTTCTTTTTCCTCCAATACAGCAATCAGTTAGTGTGGGGTGTGAGGGAGGACAACAGTATCCCAGAAATGGTCTTTAACCACTTGCTGACTGCAGATAGTTGAATGACGGCTTCACCGCGGCCAGCCAGTTCTGGCAGGACGTCATATGATCTCTGTAATCGCTGTGTCCTATGGACACAGCTGATCACATGATGTGGTAAAAGGCCAATCACCGCAGCCTTTTACCACGTGATCAGCCATGTCTAATGACACAGCAGATCACTGGTAAATGCACTTTCCTCACGCTGTCACAGCGTGAGGAAAGTACTGCCGATAACCAGCAATTGTCAGAGGAAGGATCGGCATCGATCATCAAGGCACTGATGATCAGTGCCACCCAGCAGTGCCGTCCACCTGTGACCATCAGTGCCTTGTAGTGCCACCTACTTGTGCCCAGCACTGCCACTAGTCAGTGCCATCAGTCAATGCCACCCATCAGTGCCCATCATTGTTGCATATCAGTACAGCATCATCAGTACTCATCAGTGCAGCCTCATCAACGCACATCAGTGAAGGAGAAAAATTTACCTGTTTGCAGAATGTCATAATAAAAACAAAGAAAAACAACTTTTTTTTTTTTTTTTTTTTTTTCCCAAAATTTTGGCTCTTTTTTTGTTTATATGCAAAAAATAGAACACCCAGCAGTGAGTAAATACCACCAAGAGAAAGCTCTATTTGAGTGAAAAAAAAATAATAAAAATATCATATGGGCGCAGTGTTGCATGACCGCGCAACTGTCATTCAAAGTGCAACAGTGCTGAAAATTGGCCTGGGCACAAAGGGGGTATAAGTGCCCGGTAGGCAAGTGGTTAAAGTCCTAAAATCCTTAACGTGGGTAAAATCTTACAAAAAATAAATATATAAAGTAAGTTTGGGGTATCCGTAATGTAGAATTGGTAAACCATTGCTATGGGGTTGTTGCAGCCTTTACTCCTTTTGTAAGGATTTCCCTTTTCTTCTTATCCTAGAGACACCACATGATGTGAGCAGAAATCTCTACTCTTAGTGGTCAGTGGACCAGGTGGCCCCATTGGAAGATTTCATCTCACCCAACTGTTCCATAGGCGATGATTACATTTTGGATTTCCCATCCCGTTCAGCCCTGGTGACAGTGGTCACCAGGACTAGAGAAAGTGTATAAAAACCTGAAGAGGTTTTAACCCTTTCCTCCTTTACCCCCTTGTCTCTGTCTCATACATTATTTCATATCATAGCTCAGTTTGGGTTACCCTGGCCTGTGACGGTTTTGGCAGCCAGGAAACATATTGGTATTGACAATAGAACATTTTTTAAAATGTTGGTGACTGAGATTTGTCCTCCCCAATGTGTGCGTAGTTAGCAGAACAATTTAACGTTTTTTTTTTAATTTTGTTTTTTTTTCCCCACAGTGCTACCAGAGTCAGAATCAGGCAGAGGTAAGTAGGCATTGGTTTTTAATATAGACCGTAAGCTTGTATTCATCTCCTAATGGAGTCGCTAAATTAAAAATAAGTTTAAAGTGTTACTAAACCCACAACAGTAAAATCAGTCTGTATGTGCAGTAAAGCATGTTTGCGATACTCACTGTGGAACCTAAGGGGTTAATACTCTGCATTGTGTAAAAAGGATGTTTGATCCTCTCTTCTCTGATTCTCCCCTTCTTCCATAATCCCCAGTTCATCTACTGATAGAACAGAGCCTCGGGGACACTCTGCACATGCTCCGTTTGGTGTGTACTGCTAGAGAGTTTTTTTCTTTTTCTTGGGAGGGTGCATGTGATCAGCACAGGGCCAATCAGCACTGTCCAGAGGGTCAGGGGTCATGCAATCTCATAGGTCAGTGAGAGCAGAATGAAAGCTCCTCCTACAAGCTTTAACCAGTGCTCAGCTGGACACTGATAGAAGTCACAAAACTGCTCTAACTGCTGATGAGAAAAGGTATTTAGCAGTTTATATTTACTAAAATAATTGCATTTCCTAGATTTGTAAGCTCTAACAAGCCAGGTCCTCTGTTTTCTCATGTACCAAATTGTATTGTAACTGTAATGCCTGCCTTCATTTTATAAAGCGCCGTGCAAATGGTTGGCGCTATATAAATCCTGTATAATAATAATGTTTTATGTTCTGTGTACTGTGGGAGACCAGATATAGTAAATGCAGGGTCCAGGGTTTAGTAACATTTTAAGTGGCAAAAAAAAAAAAAAAACACTAAGGGTTCTCTATGTAAAAAAAAAACTTGTTGGATGAATGACACATGCATTTGCCTAGCTTTCACAAATTCTGCCTGTATGTTACTTAATATGTTGAATTCCTATGATCATCAGCTCCATCTAATGACCATATAGTGGTATTCACCTGATTGAGGTATTTTAGGAAAACATTTACATTTTCGCCACAGGATGGAGCAGATGATCATAGGAAATCAATCTATTAATCCACATTTATTAACATTATGTTCTTGGTCTTACACCAAGTTCATGAACATTAGAATCTTCGGCCTTACATCCACATTACCTGACTGTTTGCTCTATATAAAACCTGCATAATCGTAATTATTAGTCCTTACATCCACAGTCATTGACAATGGTGTTCTAGTCCTTACATCCACAGTCATTGACAATGGTGTTCTTGGCCTTACATCCACAGTCATTGACAATGGTGTTCTAGGCCTTGCATCCACATTCACTGACAATGGTGTTCTAGGCCTTACATTCTGACAATGGTGTTCTAGGACACATGACAATGGTGTTCTAGGCCTTACATCCACATTCACTGACAATGGTGTTCTAGGCCTTCTAGGCCTTACATCCATATTCACTGACAATGGTGTTCTAGGCCTTACATCCACATTCACTGACAATGGTGTTCTAGGCCTTACATCCATATTCACTGACAATAGTGTTCTAGGCCTTACATCCATATTCACTGACAATAGTGTTCTAGGCTTTATATATCCACATTAATTGACAATGGTGTTCTAGGCCTTACATCCACAGTCATTGACAATGGTTTTCTAGGCCTTACATCTACAGTCATTGACAATGGTTTTCTAGGCCTTACATCCACAGTCATTGACAATGGTGTTCTAGGCCTTACATCCACAGTTCATTGACAAGGGTGTTCTAGGCCTTACATCCACATTCACTGACAATGCTGTTCTAGGCTTTACATATCCACATTCATTGACATTAAATTTCTAGGCATCATTTCTGCTCACCATTATCCTTGAATACTGCAGAGCTCTCTCTGATTATTTAATGGACTGCATGGGTTAACGTTTTCATAAAATCTGTTCGAAAAATGTTCCAGATGGTATGATGGCTGGATACCTTGTAGATTGTTGTGTGGTTCATGTTTGTTCTTTTTTTTCAAATCTTTTGCTTTCCTGTAGGAGGGTGAAAATGAACAAAAGGAAAACAGTACCTCCCTTGACCATGTAATAAAAGAGGTAAGCACGCGTATCCTAGTGTATGGGTTTGTTTCCTAAGGGTATGTTCACAACAGGTGCAGTAGGACTTCATTGAGTGGCTATTTCAGCGCAGTCCCACTGCAAGGTAAAGCAAAATGCTTTGCCTCCTACCTGGCGGGTTCTGGTGCGAACTGAATAAAGTATGGCAGGCCACCGCCACCTTGCACCACACACCGGTCAATAGAACTTAATGAAGTTATCCTGTATGACATTTCTTCTTAAATTCCTTTATTTTAATAAAGTTTTGACAATTTACAGATGTGGGTTCAAAAACACAACATAATGTCGGACAATAGGTAAAATCCATTGTCATGAAAATGTCATCAATAGTCTAGGCCAGTGGTCGGCAAGTCGCGGCTCGCGAGCCACATGCGGCTCTTTACAAACTTAAATGCGGCTCTTCTGTGTGCCGGGCGCCCGCTCCCCTCCCTCCTCTCGGGCGGCCGCCCCAAAAGTCAGGACTCTGCAGCTGTCAGGATGTAGGCGGGGCAGCCAGGATGTAGGCGGGGCAGCGTGACGAACTCCTCTCCTCTCACAGTCCGCCCTGAAGACCAGAACGGCGCGGGGAACACGTCGAGAAGAATGCGCGGAGCAAAGGTAAGTGAATTGACACAGGGGGGACTTACTATAGGGGGGATGAATTACTATATGGGGGATGAATTACTATGGGGGATGAATTACTATGGGGGATGAATTACTATATGGGGGATGAATTACTATATGGGGGATGAATTACTATGGGGGATGAATTACTATATATGGGGGATGAATTACTATATGGGGGATGAATTACTATGGGGGATGAATTACTATATGGGGGATGAATTACTATATGGGGGATGAATTACTATATGGGGGATGAATTACTATGGGGGGGGGATGAATTACTATGGGGGATGAATTACTATATGGGGGATGGATTACTATGGGGGATGGATTACTATATGGGGGATGAATTACTATATGGGGGATGAATTACTATATGGGGGGATGAATTTACTATATGGGGGGATGAATTACTATATGGGGGATGAATTACTATATGGGGGATGAATTACTATGGGGGATGAATTACTATATGGGGGATGTATATTTTCAGTTTTAAAAAATGTGGCTCTCAAAATAAATTTCAATCGTGGTTTTGGCGAGATTTGGCTCAGTTGAAAAAAAAGGTTGCCCACCACTGGTCTAGGCAATACTAAAATAACCGAATTCCAATTAAAAACAATCGAATACTGAAACTTAATGTGCTGAATTCTCAGTGTAGAACCTTTTATTTTATGTTTTCAGCTTAATGGGGTTGAGGAATGACATAGACTCTAGCGGTAGTCTTGTCCCAAATATGGTAGGAAATCAACATACATCAAGTTGTAAACATAAAAACAGTATGGAAGGTGCTTCTAAGAGCAGGGGGGAAGGGTAAATAAGGAGAAAAACAAGCCGGAGCTCCCCGAAAAGAGAAGTGGGTATCCCTCTACCGGGTAAGAGGCTGGGAGGCCTCACCCACCCCCCCCCACCCCACAGTGCCAGCTGGAGCCAGATATCTGATGGGACATGCGGAGCAGTGTGGCGGAGACCTTGTACCACCTGGTGAGTATTTTGGAGCTGGTTTCCTGAACCCTTGAGGCAAAAGAGGATTTGTGGGAGAAATAGAGTATTTTCTCCCTTTGCTGCATCGTGAGTTGTAGGTCTAAATCTGCCTCCCATTTGGCCAGAAAAGGTGGGACGTAGTCAGCTCCCAGGTGGATCAGGGATGCATATATCTTCGAGGGGGAATGGCATACCGGTTCCCTCCTATGGCAGATGGACTCAAAACTTGTAAGGGGTCTGGATATGCCTGGGGTCTGGATATGCCTGGAGCAGTGGTGAAGAAAAAATGCAACTGAAGCCCTCCCCAGAGGTCCAAGGGAGGGTCAGCAAGTCGAGAGAGGTCCGTGGAAATGAGTGCACCCCCGAAGTCAGGAAATCAGTCAGATGGGTGCGGCCAGAGGCTTTAAGGCGAAGAAATTGGGGATGGCTAAGACCAGGGCCAAACTCTGAGTTACCCAAGATGGGAACCATAGGGGAGGGCTGTGGAAAGATCAGGGAGGCACGGAACATTGCCCTTGAGACCTGTAGAGTGCTGCCTAAGGTAGGGTGAGCACAAAGTTTTCTGGGTAATGGAGAGGAAAGCCAGGGTCCAACTCATGGCAGTATCCCCGGAGTCCTGCTCCATTTCCATGTCAACCCAGTGCTTGGCCCCCCCATGACAGTGCCAGTCCACCACTCTGGTAAGATGAGTTGCTTTATAGAAGGCCCGAATATCCGGGAGGCCGACACCCCCAGACATCTTGGGTAAGGTTAAGTGGTGTAGAGCTAAACAGGGTTTCCCTTGTGAGCAGACAAAGTTCCAAAAGAGGGAACTGAGTCTGTGGAGGAATGTTGGGAGAGGTATATCGGAAGGGCTTGTAGAAGATAGAGGACTATGGGAGTAACGTCATCTTAAGAGCGGTTCATCAACCAAACCACGTCAATGTAAGAGGTCTTCCTTAACCACTTCCTGTCTGGACACTTTTACCCACTTCCTGACCAGGGCAATTTTCAGCTTTCAGCGCTATCACACTTTGAATGACAATTGCGCGGTCATGCAACACTGTACCCATATTAATTTTTTACCATTTTTTGAGACAGATAAAGCTTTATTTTGGTGGTATTTATTCACCGCTGGGATTTTAATTTTTTTTTGCTATGTAAATAAAAATGTTCAAAAAATTTTTTAAAAAGTGTTTTTCTTATAAAATTTTGCAAATAAATAATCTTTTATCATAAATCTTGACCAAAATTTATTCCGTTATATTTTTAGTAAAAAAAAAATAAGCCAAATTAGTTTATAACCAAAAATTATAATTTTTAAACATTTTTTTTACATTTTTATTTTATTTTTTTATATTATTTATGGGGTTTTTTTTTTTTTTTACATACTGTCACCCTAGCAGTACAGTGTCACCATGGTGACACTGTACTACTTGTGGGGGTGATGAAGATTTTTTTTTTTTTTTCTCAGTGATTGCAATAATTTCTCTTTCTCTGTCTGCATTCTTGGAGCAATTGAGAAATACTGAGTGAGCTGTGATTGGTCACACCTTGTCACATGGTACAAGGCAGTTGTGAATAGCCTTGTACCATGTGACCTCTGTGATCATTCACAGATTTCACACATAGTAAGCAATGATGTCACAAGTGACATCTTGCTTACTACTTTGCATGTGATCACTGATTGGCCTATCAGTTATCACATGATCGGGACCTCATACAGAGGTCCCGTCCGACGATCGGTGTTTCACTGTGTCCGGAGCACACGGCGGGCACTGGATCGCGGTGCTGTGCGCTCCCAAGGAGCGCGCACAGCTAGGCGGGTGCCGTTTATGAACGGCAAAGGCGGGTGCCGTTTTTATAAACAGCAGGCGGACGGCAAGAGGTTTAAGTTTAAGAAGAAGTGTTAAATGTTTGCTCCATACAATTTAGAGGGGTCCGGGGCAATATAATCGTGCTCAGGTACCTAATGGCTTCTGCAGCCCATCTGTAGGGAAAGGATGGTTTAAGCCCCGGATTGTAGTCGCATCCGCAGAGATGTTAAGGGCGGAAGATTTTGACAAGTTGACCTTGAAGTTGGACAGAGAGCCGTATGTCCGTAATCCTCGTAATATATTGGGCAAAGATGTAAGTGGATTCGTGAGGTCGTCTGCGAAAGCTGAAACTTTGTGGCATCCCGAGGGTTTACAAAAACCGGTAATATTAGGATCTGAGCAAATTGTGCACAGGAAGGGTTCCAGCGTTAAGATAAAAAGGACAGGAAAAAGGGGACACCCCTGACGTGTCTCATTCGAAATTGGGAAGAAGATAGACCTAGTTTGGTTGACTTTCACTGCCGCTGAAGGGGAGGAGTAGAGGGCAGAAATCCAGTGACGCATGGGGGTCCTGAGACTATTATGTTCTAGAGTCTCTTGCATAAATCACCACTGGACCCTATAGAATGCTTTTTCTGCATCCGTGGAGAGCAGAATAAATACAGTGACCCTTAAGGTTTGTGGAGAACATGAGATGCTGTTTATTAATACTGTTCTGACAATCTGCAAGATCAATCTCTGCCTAAAGACATCAGAAGGTGCTCACCTGATCCAGCAGCTGTTTGCAGTCATGGCTGCACAGCCAACGGCCCTCTAATGTTTGTAGACAGCATTAGATACTGATTTGTTTATTTATTTTTTGCCTTCACTCGACCTCCAGTCATTAAAGTGACTAAAGCTTGCAGTTTTATTTTTAAAAAATAACAAACATGTTATGGTTACCTGCTCTGTGCAGTGGTTTTTTACAGAGCAGCCCCGATCCTTTTCTTGGGTGCTCCCCACTGCCGAGTGCCCCCAATAGAAAGCCTCTTGCTATGGGGGCACTCAAGCAGGATCACTCCTGAGCCGCACTCCTAGGAAATTTGCATTGTCCATGCACACGCTGAGCGTGGCTCGGTCCTGCCCCCCACCACTCTCTCCTCATTGACTCAGATTGAAAGCAGCAGGAGGCAATGGCTTCTGCTGCTGTGTGAGCCAATGAGGAGAGAGGGGCCTGGGAGAGCCGCTGCTCTCATGCTCCTCACTGGATCGAGATGGGGATCGGGTAAGTATAACGGGGGGAGGAGATGCTCCCAAAAGGTTTTTTACTTTAAAGTGGTTCTAAAGGTAGATGGTATTTACCTTAATGCATTCTATGCATTAAAGTGTACAGTATGTAAAGGCATAGATTGGGGGAAGGCATAGATACTCTGCTAAAATTTTATTGCCCAAATGGTGAGGAAGACCGTAAGAGCACCACACCAATAACCAAAGTACAAACAGCTTTTTAATTAGTTCATATTAGAGCAGTGGTTCTCAACCTTTCTAACGCCGCGACCCCTTAATACAGTTCCTCATGTTGTGGTGACCCCCAACCATAAAATTATTTTCGTTGCTACTTCAGAACTGTAATTTTGCAGTGGGAGGAATAGTGCCACATCATTGGTGTCAGTGGGAGGAATAGTGTCCCATCGTTGGTATCAGTGGGAGGAATAGTGCCCCATCACTGATGTCAGTGGGAGGAATAGTGTCCCATCATTGGTATCAGTGGGAGGAATAGTGCCCCGCCATTGGTGTCAGTGGGAGGAATAGTGCCCCATCATTGGTATCAGTGGGAGGAATAGTGCCCATCATTGGTATCAGTGGGAGGAATAGTGCCCCATCATTGGTGTCAGTGGGAGGAATAGTGCCCCATCATTGGTGTCAGTGGGGGGAATAGTGCTCCATCATTGGTGTCAGTGGGAGGAATAGTGTCCCATCATTGGTGTCAGTGGGAGGAATAGTGCCCCATCATTGGTGTCAGTGGGAGGAATAGTGTCCCATCATTGGTGTCAGTGGGAGGAATAGTGCCCCATCATTGGTGTCAGTGGGAGGAATAGTGCCCCATCATTGGTGTCAGTGGGAGGAATAGTGCCCCATCATTGGTGTCAGTGGGAGGAATAGTGCCCCATCATTGGTGTCAGTGGGAGGAATAGTGCCCCATCATTGGTATCAGTGGGAGGTATAGTGCCCCATCATTGGTGTCAGTGGGAGGAATAGTGCCCATCATTGTGTCAGTGGGGGGAGGAATAGTGCCCCATCATTGGTGTCAGTGGGAGGAATAGTGCCTATCATTGGTGTCAGTGGGGGGAGGAATAGTGCCCCATCGTTGGTGTCAGTGGGGGGAGGAATAGTGCCCCATCATTGGTGTCAGTGGGGGGGAGGAATAGTGCCCCCATCGTTGGTGTCAGTGGGGGGAGGATTAGTGCCCCATCGTTGGTGTCAGTGGGGGGAGGAATAGTGCCCCATCGTTGGTGTCAGTGGGGGGAGGAATAGTGCCCCATCGTTGGTGTCAGTGGGGGAGGAATAGTGCCCCATCGTTGGTGTCAGTGGGAGGAATAGTGCCCCATCGTTGGTGTCAGTGGGAGGAATAGTGCCCCATCGTTGGTGTCAGTGGGGGAGGAATAGTGCCTATCATTGGTGTCAGTGGGGGGAGGAATAGTGCCCCATCGTTGGTATTAGTGACACCAATGATGGGGCACTATTCCTCCCACTGACACCAATGATACTTACCTTGCTGACCCCTGCTCCAGCCTGGGCTCGCTCTCTCCCTCTCCCATCTACAGCCTGCAGAAGCAAAATTTGCACTTACCTGTCAGCTGTCTTCCTTCTCTGGCTCTCTCTCCTCTTCACTCGGTCCTGCAGCTCCCTCGATCTTCTTCGATCTGCGCGCTCTGCCGCTCGGCTCCTCCTCTCCAAAGCTCCACCTCCTCTCGCCGGTGATTGGCCGCCTGTGTGCCTCTCCTGAGCTACAGTTCCGGTGGCCAATCAGCGGCGAGGAGGCGGAGCTGTTGAGTGAACCCAGAGGTGTGGCCAGGTTACAGGGGCAGCATATCATCCCGCCCACAGATCGCGAGACAGAGCAGCGGTGTCTCGGTTCCTAAGACCATCGGAAATATGTTTTCCGATGGTCTTAGGCGACCCCTGGGAAATGGTCGTTCGACCCCCAAAGGGGTCGCGACCCCCAGGTTGAGAACCGCTGTATTAGAGTGAAGTTAATTCATGTCCTTCTGGGGCATTAAACCAAAGAGTGAAGCAGCAGCAATTGGTTGCACAGTTAACCTTTTTAATATATAATCAGGACTCTGATTATTATTGTGGTGCTCTTAATGCCTTCCTCACTCTTTGGACTTTACTGAGGGCCCCCGCACTGGCCTACTGAGCTTTGAGGGCACCTTTACTCTATCTCTGTCTATTGAACTGATCTTCCTCAATATGAGAGTTTACACAGTTTACATAGTTAGTCTGGCTGAAAAAAAAGATACAAATCCATCCAGTTCAACCATTAAAAAAAAAAAGTTATATTCCTACACCCACAGTTGATCCAGAGGAAGGCAAAAAAAAACACCCAACAAAGCATGATCCAATCTGCTCCAGCAGGGGGAAAAAATTCCTTCCTGATCCCCGAGACTGCTTTCACTGTGAAGGAAACCTTCCGTGTTTGGAGATTACATTTCTTTTCCTCCAGATGTAGAGGTAATCGGGAGGATATTCCCTGGATCAACTTTACCTATAAATGTTAGTATCCAGTTATATTCTGTGTATCTAGAAAAGAATCCAGGCCTTTTTTAACCTCTTGGTGCCGGGCACACACGCAAACGTGCGGCCTCCTGGTGTCTGGGCTTTGACGCCGAGTGGCTGCACATTTGCACGCAATTTAAGAGAAACATATGTGCTGAGAGTGCGCGCCCTGCACGCTCCCACCACACGTCTGGTACTCATGGAAAGGTTCCGATTTCCTCTTGCGATCCCGCCAGGGATCTTTCCCAATCATGTGACAGCGAATCACGGCGGTCACATGACCCTAAAACCCCGCCCTGCCTCCTGGCTTCTGAAACTCTTAAAGGGCCGGGAGGCGCCGGCGCCAAGGGGTTAAAGCAATCCACTGAGCTGGCCGGAACCAAATCTTGAGGCAGTCTATTCCACATTTTCACAGCTTTCACTGTGAAGAAACCTTTCCGTGTTTGGAGATCATACATTTCTTTTCCTCCAGATGTAGAGAGTGATCATAATCCCCCCTTGTCCCCTGTGATGACCTCAGGGGTGAATAGCTCTACACCGAGTTCACTATTACAAACCACTGATGGATTTATACATGGTGATCATATCCCCCTTATGTATTATACATGGAGATCATATCCCCCCCCCTTATGTATTATACATGGAGATCATATCCCCCTTATGTATTTATAAATGGAGATCATATCCCCTTATGTATTATGTATTATACATCCCCCTTATTGGAGATCATATCCCCCCCTTATGTATTATAGATGGTGATCATATACCCCCCCTTATGTATTATAGATGGAGATCATATCCCCCCCCTTATATGTATTATAGATGGAGATCATATCCCCCATTATGTATTATACATGGAGATCATATCCCCCCTTATGTATTATACATGGTGATCATATCCCCCCTTATGTATTATACATGGTGATCATATCCCCCCTTATGTATTATTCATGGAGATCATATCCCCCCTTATGTATTATACATGGAGATCATATACCCCCTTATGTAATATACATGATGATCATATCCCCATTATGTATTATACATGGAGATCATATCCCCCCTTATGTATTATACATGGTGATCATATCCCCCCTTATGTATTATACATGGTGATCATATCCCCCCTTATGTATTATACATGGTGGATCATATCCCCCCTTAATCTCCTCTTCTCAATAGAGAATAAATTCAGTTCCTCTAATCTTTCCTCATAGCTGATCTCCTCCATGCCTCTTATCAGTTTGTTGCCCTTCTCTGCACTTTCTCAGTTCCCACAGTGTTCTTTTTGTGAATTGGTTCCCAAAACTGAACTGCATATTCCAGATGAGGTCTTACTAATGACTAGTCACTAGTGTGACAGCACTTATTCAGCCCCTCTGTATGAGGACAACAGAAACAAGATAGGACTACAGGACCCCACCCTGTTCATATTGTCCATAGCATAGAGTGGAGAGCACAGGATGGTACAAGCTCACACAATTTTCTAGCAAGATCAACAAGAAATGTTATGGACTTCTCATTGTTAGGGTTCAGATATGCTTTAACTGTGTTATCAGCTCCACCAAATGAATGGAAGCTTCTAAGAATAAGCGCCAATGCAATATACAAAGGACATATATATAAAATAGTAAATCTAAAGGTCCTTCTTACAAGTGGATGTGTTTGCATTTACTGCTTTAAAAATATACCCAAAGGCTTTGAATCCAGAATTTTGAGATTATTTTTCCTCCCTTTCAGACCACTCAGGAGATGGTTGCTCGTTCAGCAGCTACCCCTCATCACTCACCCCTTCCACGGTATGTAAGATTTTCCAATGTGCAAAAAATTAAAAACTGTGATTGACCTTTGGTCCAGTGCGTGCGTGTTATAGTTCTAAAAATACACGGGGCTTGCAGCACGGGGAGTGTCATTAATTGTGCTTTATGGTAGAAAAAAATAAAATAATCCAGCATTGTAGCGGCATCCCTGAAGGAGGCCCTGAGATCATTTGTAATCTAGCCAGCAAAGAAAACCTAAGCAAAGTGTACCTGACGTCCTATGTAAGCTACTAAGGCTCATAACAGAGGTTTTATCCCTGGTTTACACTGAATGCTTCACTTGAAGTAGCATGATTTCAAAGCCACAGATCAGCGCAATTTGTACCTTGATTTCACTGTGGCTGGCGGCTTCATTTAACAGAAGGCAATGCTGGTTGCAATGAAATTGGGGAAAAAAAGTGTTGAAATCGCACAATTTCAAATCGCACTGATTAAGACCCGCGCCATAGAAATTAGATGCAACTTCCGGTGCGATTTGTAAATAGCATTTCACAGCTGAAGTCACATCGGCGTGAACCAGAGCTTAGTTGCATACATTTTCAAATACATGTTAAAACCGAACTGCCACCCCAATGTACCTCTGTAAAGTGCAGTCCCTAACGGAAAGCCATCTGAGCTGAGTCCCCAACTATGGGACATACACTATATTGCCAAAAGTATTGGGATGCCTTCCTCGCTCATCCATGTCTTTATAGACCTTGTTTTGTGCACTGGTGTGCAGTCATGTTGGAACAAGAAGGGGCCATCCCCAAACTGTTCCCACAAAGTTGGGAGCATGAAATTCTCCAAAATGTCTTGGTATGCTGATGCCTTAAGAGTTCCCTTCACTGGAACTAGGGGGCCAAGCCCAACCCCTGAAAAACAACCCCACACCATAATCCTCCCTCCACCAAACTTTACACTTGGCACAATACAGTCAGGCAAGTACCGTTCTCTTGGCAACCACCAAACCCAGACACGTCCATCGGATTGCCAGACAGAGAAGTGTGATTCACTACTCCAGAGAACATGTCTCCACTGCTCTAGAGTCCAGTGGCGGTGTGCTTTACACCACTGCATCCGACTCTTTGCATTGCACTTGGTGATGTAAGGCTTGGATGCAGCTGCTCAGCCATGGAAACCCATTCCATGAAGCTCTCTACGCACTGTTGTGCTCATCTGAAGGCCACACCAAGTTTGGAGGTCTTTAGCTACTGACTCTGCAGACAGTTGGTGACTTCTGTACACTGTGCGCTTCAGCATGCGCTGACCCCGCTCTGTCATTTTACATGGCCTACCACTTGGTGGCTGAGTTGTTCCCAGTTGCTTCCACTTTGTTATAATCCCACTAACAGTTGACCGTGGAATATTTAGTAGCAAGGAAATGTCACGGATGGAATTATTGCACAGGTGACAACCTATCACGGTACCACGCTTGGAGTCACTGAGCTCCTGAGAGCGACCCATTCTTTCACAAATGTTTGTAGAAGCAGTCTGCATGCCTAGGTGCTGGATTTTATACACCTGTCACCAAGGAGGTGATTGGAACACCTGAATCCTATGATTTGGAGGGCTGGCCCAATACTTTTGGCAATATAGTGTATATAGCTATGTACAAATTAGGAATAGCCTAGCCTGGAGACAGCTCTTTCCTAGGAACAGCAACGAGAGAGGGGGGGGGGAAGGAGAGAGAGAGAGAGAGATTTATTTTTTTTAGTTATTTGTGGCACAAAATGGCATCATTATCAGGATGTGACCTTTAAAAGTGGTTATACAGATGTACTGTAGGGCTGCATGGCATAGTACGTCTCCTTTTTTTTTTTTATACAAGGCAAAAGGCATAATAAGAGGATCAGTAAAGGGGAACCTACTTGGGGGTAGTAGAAGTGGGGGTGCATTGTAATCACAGAGCCTTGGTCCAAACACTGCACTAGGGTCCTTATCCTGCTTCTCTATGGCACTGGAGGTCCAGGGTGTGGGTCAGACCCATTACCACAGCCTAGATGCATAATCTTTTAATCTACAGCATTTCATTGATTAATCCTGTAACTTCTGAATATTTTCATGTTTCTCTTTATTTGCAGTGATCACACTACGGTGCATGGTGCAGTTCATTGGAAGAGAGACCAAATATGAGTATGTCCGTCTCCATACCTTAAAGTAGAACTAAAGGCAATTTTTTTTTTTTAAGAGAATTCTAACCCCTGTTCTATTTCCATTTTTTTTTTCCATCTGTGCTGCATATGGGGGATAATTTCCCTTCACTTCCTGTCTTATAGCTAAAACAGGAAGTGAGAGGAAATCCCTCCAAAGTGAAGGAATCCCAGGGTGTCACCAGAACTAGTGTCCCCATTGGAATATTTCCCCTCTATTACTATTCTCATGGCAACCAAAAAATGTGGGATTTTCTTTACTTTTAATTTTGATGAGAACAGTGAATAGGACAAATAGGATGAATCTTCATAACGGGGGCACAAGCAGCAATTAAATCTGACAGGTGTTCCAATTCCTCTCCACTCTCCAAAAAAAAAAAAAAAAAAAAAAAAGTTTTGCCTTTTAGTTACACTTTAGAGATAAACTGGCAGTATTTGTATCCTTTATCCTTACATGGCTTATATTAACTTTACAGTGGGGTGTTTGGATCGGTAGTGACGATATACAAGGAGGAGGGCATTATGGGATTTTTTGCGTAAGTACATCTACAGTTACAACTGTAGGTTGTTTAATTGTCATTTCTATAAAAGAAGGAATATACATAGTGACATGTCGGATATATGTAGTGACACTGCTGATCTGTTTTATTTTAGCGGTTTAATTCCAAGACTACTAGGAGATATCTTTTCTCTGTGGATCTGTAACATGGCAGCTTATCTTATCAACACGTATGCTCTGGAAAATGGGGTATGTGAGTGCTTCCACTTTTATTTCAATACAAGCTTTTCTTCTAAGTGCCGTACACATGGGTCGAATATCGGCTGGTTCAAGAAAAACTGGCCCACATTTGGCTCGTGTGTACACCAGCCTGTCCGACAGAAGCCAACCAAACGGGCATGCTGGAAAACCAGCATCCGATCAGTGCTGGCAGCCAATGACTGCAAGCGCTGACCGGGGTGTTCTGGCAGAACAAAATAGTTCAGCGGAGAGATCACTGTGCCAACATCGGATAGTACAGCGAGCTCCTCCCAAGTGCTTTAGTTTTTTTGTTTTTTTTTGTTTTTTGTTTTTTTCGTTCAGCCCACTGGATTGAGCGAAAAAAAACTTGATAGTGTGTACCAGGCATAAGGCATCTACTGTAATCCATTAATTTTATGATGTGTGTTTGAGCTAATGTCTGTCTTCTCTTTGCAGACAGTGAGCGAGATTAAAAGTTACTCTCAGGCCTTAACTGGGGTGAGTTTACTTCCACCATACTCCTTACAGTGTATCCAGCGTCCCAGCGCTCCTATTTTCCTGCTGCTTTGGGAGACTGCAGTGTTTTGTGTCCCATCTCTAATATACAATAAATAAGACCGGTATAAATTAATAAAGCTGTTTTCTTCTAAAGTTGTTCTGAGATTCACTTCGTAGTAGTATAGTTCAAATTAAATGTGGCCTTTGCTGCTGGAGAATGTCAAGTCCACTGAAAAATAAGCTATTATATTATATATCTATATTATATATATACATACATACATACATACAGTATTTATGTGGCTCCAAAAGGTTTGCTCAGCGCTGTACATTATAGTGGGGGACAGTACATGAGACAATACAGTAACAGAACAATACACAAGGGGGTCAAGGGCCCTGCTCTTTCGAGCTTACAATCTAGGAGTGTGTGTATATATGTATATATATATAATATATATATATATATATATATATGCGTTTATGAACGCCTCGGTTAACGTAATTTTCGATTTACGTATGAAAATCCATTGAGAATAATGGCTCGGTTTATGAATTTTTTTCGCAACACGAACAGATTTAATTGGTTTTCAATGCATTTACAATTTTTTTTTTAATCCTGTCCCTGTACAGTACTATGTCTTTGAAGTGCACTTTATAAAGAGTTTTGAACAGATAAAACTTTTTTGACTTTTTTCTGACCTCCAGAACGGATTACAATTGGTTTTCAATGCATTTACAATTTTTTTTTTTTTTTTTTAATCATGTTCCTTAATGCCTTTAACCTCTAGGCACCAGCTGCACGCTAATGTGCGGTCTCCCGGCGTCTGCGCCGAGCCACTGCACATTTGCAATTAAGAAAAACATATGTGCTGAGAGAGCATGCCCTGCGCCCTCCCAGCACACGTCCAATACTCACGGAAAGGTCCCGATCTCCTCTTTCAATCGGGAACTTTCCCGATCATGTGACTGCTGTGACAGCGAATCATGGCAGTCACATGACCCTAAAACCCCACCCCGCCTCCCGGCTTCTGAAACCCTTAGTGGGCCGGGAGGCGCCGGCACCAAGGAGTTAAAGTGCACTTTATAAAGAGTTTTGAACAGATAAAACTTTTTTGACTTTTTTCTGAACTCCGGAACGGATTAATTGGTTTTCAATGCATTTACAAATTAATTTTTAATCATGTCCCTGTACAGTATTTATCTCTTTTAAAGTGCACTTTATAAAGAGTTTTGAACAGATAAGACTTTTTTTTTTTTTTTTTGCTTTTTTCTGACCTCCAGAACGGATTAATTGGTTTTTCAATGCATTCCTACGGGAAACCGTATTTCGGTTTACAAATTTTTCGCAATACAAAAAGTCCCGCAGAACAAATTAAATTTGTAAACCGAGGTACACCTGTATATATATAAAAAAAAAAGCATTAAAGCAAATAACACTTTGCCAATGGCGTACCCCTTCTGTCACCACAGGTATCCCACAGTGCCAAGTAGCAGATATTACCGGATATATTCCCGGATTAATCAGAGGCTGTCAAAAGTCTGTAGCTTTTTCATGTGTTTACAATATATGGACACAAATTCAAGAGAAAACTGAAGGCACAGAATTATAGAGAGAATTAAAATGGTAGAAGAATCCGGTACTTTGAAATGCAATATATAAGGGAAAAAAAAGAATGTATCAACAAATTGGAATTATTGAGCAAAAGATATTACTGAATGTGACAGATCTTGCCAGTGTGACAGTTCAATTGTGAGATGATTTTCCCCTCTCCTCCTCCTCAGTTCCTGGCCAGTATGTTGACGTATCCATTTGTTTTAGTGTCTAATCTCATGGCTGTGAATAACTGCGGGTGAGTACAGTGCATGACAGTCGGTGTGTAGTTGGCCCTTCTCTGTGTTCCCTATTAGATGGACCTGTTTGTGTCTTGCAGGCTGGTCGGTGGCAGTCTACCGTATGCTCCTGTGTACACCTCCTGGACAGACTGCTGGAGGCAGCTCAGCAAAGAGGTAATCCTTTACTTAGATTGCTCAGGCCAGACAAGCACTGGGCAGTCTTACAGGCAAATATGAGTTCTGTATTTAAAGTGTTACTAAACCCCGGACCCTGCATTCACTATATCTGGTCTCCCAGGACCCTGCATTCACTATATCTGGTCTCCCCAGACCCTACATTCACTATATCTGGTCTCCCCGGACCCTGCATTCACTATATCCGGTCTCCCCGGACCCTGCATTCACTATATCTGGTCTCCCCAGACCCTACATTCACTATATCTGGTCTCCCCGGACCCTGCATTCACTATATCCGGTCTCCCCGGACCCTGCATTCAATATATCCGGTCTCCCCGGACCCTGCATTCACTATATCCGGTCTCCCCGGGCCCTGCATTCACTATATCTGGTCTCCCCGGACCCTGCATTCACTATATCTGGTCTCCCCGGACCCTGCATTCACTATATCTGGTCTCCCCGGACCCTGCATTCACTATATCTGGTCTCCCCGGACCCTGCATTCACTATATCCGGTCTCCCCGGGCCCTGCATTCACTATATCTGGTCTCCCCGGACCCTGCATTCACTATATCTGGTCTCCCCGGACCCTGCATTCACTATATCTGCTCTCCCACAGTACAGACATGGAAATGCAATTAGTTTAGTAAATATAAACTGCTAAATACCTTTAACCACTTCCAGACCGGACACTTTTACCCCCTTCCTGTCCAGGGCAATTTTCAGCTTTCAGCGCTAGCACACTTTGAATGACAATTGCGCGGTCATGCAACACTGTACCCATATGAATTTTTTTACCATTTTTTGAGACAGATAAAGCTTTATTTTGGTGGTATTTATTCACCGCTGAGATTTTTATTTTTTTTGCTATGTAAATGAAAAAGTCCAAAAATTTTGAAAAAGTGTTTTTTTTATAAAATTTTGCAAATAAATATTTCATCATAAATCCTGGCCAAAATGTATTGCGTTTATCTTTTTAGTAAATACACAAAAAAAATCCAAATTC